CCTGGAAATCTGTTTGTATCTGTTTTATGGATTCCATTTGTTTCCTATGTTGGGATTCCATCATGTTCCTCAGCTCCTCTGTTTTTTGGGGTTTTTTGTTATCTGTGTCCTCTCTAGACTTATTAATCATGCCTTGCACTATGGGCACAATCTCTGCTGTTATCTGAGAAGTTATTTCTGATTTCATGTTTTCCAGGTCCTCTTTCATTGCCAGTTGGGAGAGTCCAGGTGGTTACGTATCAGATTGCTCCATCTCGTTGCCCTTTGGGGTTGTCTTAGGTGATCTGGAAGTCTGGTTTTGACATTTATTTACGTGTCTTCTCATTTCAAAAGATTCAGCCTGCTGTGTCTTTTTTGAGGTGACTTTTTTTTCACCCAGTAGTCTTGAGTTCTCAGCAAGCCACCGAGCGGCCTTTATTCTGCTGCTCACCAGTACACCAATTCCTGGGTTCAGACTAGTGGCCTTCTGGATCCCTGAGCTGACATGTTGTCTGGGTGGGCTTCTGGCTGGGGCCTGTATGCACTTGGGATGGTATCTAGGTGTGCCTCTTGCTGAGACCCCTATGTAGCTATTGTCTAGGAGGGCCTTTGGTTGGGGGCTGTGCACCCCAGTCCTGTTGTCTCCACAGGCTTTGGCTAGGGTTGCCATGCACTTATCAATGGTATTGGGCAAGTCTCTGGTGTTGCTTAAGTGCCTGTACAGCTCTTCTCCAGGAAGGTCCCTGGCTGTGGCCAGTTGTATGGTGAGCCTCTGGCTGAAGCCCGTGTGCCCATGTAGCCCTTTTCTGGGTGGCCCCTTGGCTTTCACAGGTGTGCCCAAGGCTCCTGGATTGGGGTGGAGGCCCAGCTGGGATCTGCCTCCAGCCACACAGGTCTGGGCCACACAGCTGCTCCCTGGGATCTGCATGCACTCACCAGTGGAATGGCGGGCTTCCAGCCAAAGCCTAAACTTCCGTGCAGCTCCTTTCCAGGTAGGACCCTGGCCTGGGCAGGTGTGCAGGAGACCCTAGTGTCAGGGCAGACCCCCAAATGGGATCCGCCTGCAGCCGCGCCGATCTGCTCCCCAGGATCTGCACACACTCACCAATGGAATGGCAGGCAAGCAAAGCAGTTTCTTGTTCCACCCTTCTAGGGGTAACCACAAGCTTCATTGTTTCTCAGAGGGCAGCTGTAAAGCCAGCCTTCCACTGTATGCCAAAAGCCAGCTTCCCTGTGACCACCATGCTTTTCCTAGCCCATCCCATGTATCACATGACTTGTCCTCTCAGCAGCTCTGTGGGGTTAGAAGAGCACAATCACTTCCTTGCACATAGAGCTGAGGAAATGGAGACCAATGGCGATGTGCCTGTGACTGTGCCCTGATCCCACAGGCACCATGGTCACACACCACCATCCCCCTTCTGTCTGCCCTGTGACTCTGGAGCTCAGAGGCGGCCCAGGTTTTCTAGGTCCCACAGTGCATGGTCAAACAGGGAAGACTCTCTAGCAGGAAAGTCAATTATTTCTAATTTCAAGCCAGGGATTTGAAGCAAACCAATTGACAACACACTTAGCGTTGAAAACAACCGGAGCTTCTCACAGCAGATTGCTGAGGTGTGGATGTGGTTTGGCCTCCAAAGGCTTCCTGTGTTGGAGGCTTGGCCTTCAGTGTGGCAGTGTTGGGAGCTGGAACCTTTCAGAGGTGGGGCCTAGTGGAAAGTGGATATATCACCCGGACTTACCCTTGGGTGGCCTTACTCCTGGTTTCTTGGAAAGAGTCGGTTCCTGGGAGAGCATGTTGATATTCAGAGCAAGGCTGGCCTCTCTCTCCCTCTTGCTACTTCTGTTGTGATGGCACCCGCCATGCTGTCACACAGTCCCCTCTTGTGAGGATGTAATGCAGCCTCCCCATTTGTGAGGAAAAGATGAGGCGCTGTGCTGCTTCAACTCTCAGCCTCCAAGACTGTGAGCTAAATAAGCCTCTTTTTGTGAAGTACCGGCCTCAGATATTTTATTACAGAAACAGGAGACTAAAACACAGCTGCTGTCATTACTATTTTACTTTTCTAAGTGCTTTATGGTTGATAAAGTACATCAAGGTGCGGCTGCATTTGCGTCATGCGATGGTGTCCCAACAACAAGCTGATACTCCTTTCACATTTAAAATACTCAACATAGGGTTGGGGGTGTAGCTCAGTGACTCAGAGCTTGCTTAGCACGTGTGATGCCCTAGGTTCAATCCCCAGAACTGCAAGTAAAAAATAAATAAAATAAAAACCCACATAGATCACCTTTATTGAACAATCACAAGTGTCCCATTGGGTTCATTTTGTAGGTGAGGAAACGGACACAAGTAAGCTTAATGAGAAGTGCAGAGTCATACACAGAAGGGCTGGGACTCAAGCCAGATGCGACCGACTTTGGAGCCAGAACTCCAGGCCTCCTCCTGTTCCACAGTGTGACCACATGATAGCCCTGCACACTGCTGTTATGACTGCACATGCTTTCATAGCTAGACTATACGTCATTGTTATTTTGTGGAAAATTTTTCATTTTAGTGCTTAAATCTAGGGGAATGCAAACTTTTAGCATTCATAGCCCTTACTTCAGTGAAATTGGTGTGGTATTTACAGATCAATAGTAAAATCTGCCGAGGTGAGTAGAACCCCATGGTACTTAACCTTTCCTTCACACAACATGCTGGAGAAAATTGCCAACACGAGGCTGCAACGAAGAAGGCCAGAAGTTCACCCTGCTGAATAAATGCTTAATTAGACACCTTTCAGAGCACTGCGACCTCTTGCAAAGGTTGGCGTGGTTGTGACAGCTGTGTAGATATATACCAGGATGAGGAGGCCACGCTGGCACATGATTAAGAGCAACGAATTTTTAACGTCTTGGTAATGATGCTCCGTGGCCCTCTATCCTGATGAACTGATGTATTGCCAGGCAGTGGATGAGAAGTAAAATAAAATAACAAGCTTACTATAGGAACACCTCACCTTTTCTTTATGAGATGGATAAAATATTGGGTGGAAAAGGCAGGGTACGTTCTCAGTGAGGGAGAGAGAGAGACAGACAGACACAGAGAGAGGCAGAGACAGAGACAGAGAGAATGGCTTGACTATGCTTGGTCTCCACCAAAACTCATATTGAGGCTTAATTCCCCAATACAAATGGGAGGTGCAACCTATTAGGAAGTGTTTGGGGCGTGGGAATGGAGCCCTCATACATAGATTAATGCCACTGAGCTGGAGTGAGCTCTTACTCGCTTGGCACTTGGTCAGCTACCACCTGAGCAGACTCTTGCAGGGCAAGCCTGGTCTCCTCTGCACATGCCCATTTCCCTTCCTCCTTTTGCAACAGCCAGGGAGATGCAGCCCCTCAATCTTGGGCTCTCCAGCCTCCAGAACTGTGAGCTAAGCAAACCCTCTTTCTTTACAAATAACCAGTCTCAGGTATTTTGTTATTAGGGTGACAGAAAAAAAAGATGAAGACAGAGACACTGAAAGGGAGGGAGGGAAAGACAAAAAGAGAGCAAAAGAGCAATTCCTAGCCTGAGCATCAAAGAACACCTTCCGACCAGTTTCTGCTTACAGCACTGAGTTCGGTGGTGAGGTACTGAGCACTGGGCCATATTCCATTCACCCCGAAATGTACCAATGAAAGAATTTAAGGAAAAAAATAAAAATAAAAGTGTACTTGACTTAGTGCAAAAAAGAGGAAGTGCCTTCATGGCTCGTGAAGTGTGTTTATACATGTGAGCCAGTAAGTTTGTGACCCCGGTGCAGGCCTCCCTGCTCCCCCAGGAGCAGCAGTTCTTCTTGTGGGAGACACTGGCCAGGATGACAAACGATGTCACTGCCCGCCACTGGATTATGAGCTCAGGGTTAATTAGCAAATTCAACAGCAAAGGCCAGCAGTTTTTCAATTTGAGAATTCATCTTCCAACAGCCCTAAACTTCCTTTACCGAAGGGGAAAACTAAGCGTGAGGAAAGAGCCTTGCTCTGGAGGAGCTGGGCCCGGAGGACGTTTAGAACGGGGGACTTTCACTGAGATTACCCACGGGCCTCCAGGAAGACAGGACAGGGGTTGGACTCTGTCGCCGTGGAGCCCCAGTGACCTCTCAGGTCAGTGTATCAACAGCGCCACACGGAGGCTGAGCCTCCAGAACGCAGCTCCGGGTCTCACAGGGCCTCATCCTCACAGGCTTCCAACTGGCTAGAGGAGGAGGAGGGACCAGCGTGCCGCTGTGGTGGGCTCGGGCACGAAGGGGCCACTCACCGTCTGCAGGATGTCGGCGGAGACCATCTGCATGCAGCACATGGCTGTGGCCAGCGCACACACAATGGTGGAGAGGACATTGAGGGCGCACACACTGAAGAGCAGATCCTGCGGGAAAAGAGGCGGGAGAAGGTCAGCTCCTCTCGGCAGCCCAGAGGGCAGCAGAATCCTTCGCCCCTCTCGGGGTCCGGGATAAGAGTGGGTGATTGATTGTCACCCGCTTTGTAGAGGTTTTGTTTTGTGTATGTGGTTTTATTTCTGGATCAAAATTGGCCTTTATATGCATACATTTGTTTATTCTTTTATGTAGCTGATCAAATTATTCTTAATATAAAATGATGGCTTTTAAAAGTTTGATAATGATTAGGTAGTCAGTAAAATGTCTAAGAAAATCTTGGTATGGTCAACATGTAAGGAGGTGCACAATTTTTAACAATCGCAACACGTAACTTAAAACTTTGATGGGTGATTAAGACAACGCCAAGATTTTAAATGAAACTCTTTATCTTAGGATAACTGTGAATGCAGTTGCAAGAATCCCCTCTTCCTAATCCCTGTTATCACTAGTTTGATCTCCATTTTTATGTTTTCATTTCAAGAAAGTTACATAAATGGAGGGCTGGAGATGTAGCTCAGTGATATAGCACTTGTTTACCATGCACAAGGTCCTGGGTTCAATCCCCAGCACTGCCGGAAAACAAAACAAAACAGAGAGAGAGAGATAACATTAAGAAAAGAACATTACTTCAGCACAATCACATAGTATGTAAACTTTTAGAATTGGCTTTTTACACTCAGCATAATCCCTCAAGGTTCACCCAGGCTGCTGAGTTTATTGGTATCTGTGGAATGACAGACTGAAAACACGGAGGTGACCAGGCAGATGCCACCGGAGGGGGATTAAGCCAGGAAGCATGAAGATAGTCTGAGAGTGACTTCAAAGCCCAAACCAGCAGGGTGTGGCCACTGACCGTGCGCTGGCGGTGCAGGGAGAAGATGAGATGAGGAAGACCTAGCAGGAGACGGTTCTGGTGAGTGCGAGCCAAGATGCCAGCAGCTAGGCCTGGAGATCATGGGAGAGAAGGGGCCCTAAAAGCAGAATAAGCAGTGTGGTTTGGGATGTGGAGAGGCTGAGTGGCTGGGGACCTGTTCCACAGATATATTAATCAGTGTTCAGAAATTCGGGCCTGGAGCTCAAGGTGGTGATCAGAGTTGGAGGGGTGGATGGGAAGCTGCCCTATGGCCTTGAGCTTGTGGGCGTTCCCAATGCAGCTCGGGCCTCTGTTTACTCATTCCCATCCTCAGATCCATCCGACTTCAGGGGATCAGGGACCCTCATCGACTCCCTGCAGAAGAGGGCATTTCTTGGATGAAATTATCATTCTCAGCTTAAAGATTCACTGGAGAGTAAGCTGAAACAGTATCTAAAACTCTTAAATGTCATCTCCCCGGGAGTTATTCAAAATGATAATGGAAATAATGGCATCTGTCAGTGTAATACTTGTAGCTGAGAATATAGCTATACCAGTCCTTTGTCCTCAAATCTAGACATTTCAACTTTATTGACCACACGTTCTATTGGCATTGAAATGAATGCCCTGTCCTTCTGAAAACAACATTAATTTTGCATATACTCCCCTTTGCAGCCAAATCTTTGCAGCCCGATAAAACTACTCATAAAAAGAAACACAAATCATAATCTTTTACAGGAATGTGCATCCTGGGGAAATACCACTTTATATCTCATGAAGGGTATTTATTTGTAACTCATGCCAAAAAGACATGCCCCTCCCCAGTTGTTTAAATGCTTGGCTGTTTTTTAAATAATTCCACACCACTTAGAATTCTGTTGATGTGTTTTCTTAGAATTCTTTTCTGGTTTAAATAATGCTTTTACCCTTTGATAGCTTTATCAGAGTCTTCTATAAGCACTGAAATCCATGTTCTATAAAATCCATTTCCAAGGTCATTCAACGAGTGTAAGAATAAAGTAAATCTTTCACTGCTGAAATTGAGTTTTGCTGCTGGACATCTTCATACTTACGTTTGAAATTATTAACCCTAATAAAATTAAGAAAATCAAGTGCAGAACAAATCATGTATAGAACAGAAACAGAAAAAAAAGTTTTAGATACTTTGGCAGATCTAAAAATGATGTATTCTTTAAAATCTCTCCAGCCCAGGTAAATTCTGGATATTTACAACACAATTAACAGAGAAAGGAGACAGCGTGAGAATTTACAGATGCCTGTGGTATGTTAAGAAATATTTAGAATTCAGGACTTTGAGTCCCTTGCTTGCTGGAAATATTGATGTACAGAGGACAAATACATATTCATTTCTATTAGCTCATGCATTAGTTTTTTCCTACATGTTGTCTTTCTTTGAATAGCAAAAGAGGACTTGATAGGAAGCCATTGTCAGCCAAGATATAATGATGGAAGGTATAGAGACAGGGAGAGTCTCATAGCTTAAAGCAGAAGTGATAATTCTGGACCATAACTCTATGTGGGTTGGATGTTTGGGCTCTACCTGAATTATCCTCTTAAATGTCTGCCCCATTTGTATTTGTTGCGCTGTGATGCTTACCTGACACTTACTGCCGGTCTGCGTTAGAAGAGGCACTCTGCTGTGGGCCCTGAGCCTTCCTTTCCTGGTAAGTGTGTCAAGAATGGAGACCCTTGACTACTCTTTATCCAGCTCATTTCCTCTGGGTGTGTTTGCAACAAGCAAAGCAGGTAACCGCTCCCACTTGGCAAAGTATAGGATCACTACAGAGGCAGATTCCCCAGTTCAGTGTCTTTCTCTGTACCCTAGTTTACTGTGTGTGCAGGAATCCATGATGGGGACTTTGAGACAGGCAGGGAAGAGGGAACTGACATGACCCACGTGCACTCTGGCTACTGGTGTCCTCATGAGTCACGGATTTCTTTGTATCTGAACCAAGAGTCTCATGTCTTCTGCCAGAGAGGGAACAGCAAATGGTAATGGGCTGGTTTGTTAGCTTGAAAGGAGTGAAAAGCCTGACCCTGAAGTAGGAATAAACAGTACATTTCCACCTCCATCATGGGAGAATATCAAGAGCAGAGTCCATCTTTTCTACTGCTCTGTATAGTGAAATAGCTCATTCAAAACTGTGATTGCTAAATAGCTGTCTGAAAATTTATGGGATATCTCTTCTGAATTTCAACTTCTTGCTAGAAGGAAGTGATCAAATTCATCTTCACCTTTAAATGAGAAGGCAGAAACAAGACTCAGTTAAAAAAAAAAAAAGCTTTTGTTGACACCAAGAATAGTGTGTGTTACTGTGTGTGCGTGTGTGCATGTGTGTGTAAAATTGGTGACTTATTTATTTATTTTTGTACCGGGGATCGAACTCCAGACCTTGTGCTTGCAAGGCAGGTGCCTGAACCACTGAGCTAAATCCCCGGCCTGGTGACTTATTTTCAATAAACTGTTCAAGTCATGAGATACATCTTGGACCAGCCCCTGGGCTATTTAATTGTTTCTGTAGGAAGTAGTTATGGGGCCGGAGGTGGTGGGGCACACCTGTAATCCCAGTACCCTGGGAGGCTGAGGCAAAAGAATCAAAAGTTTGAGACCAGCCTGGGTAACGTAGCAACTTAGCAAGACTCGTCTGAAAATAAAATTCAAGAAGAGCTGGGGAGGCAGCTCAGTATGAAGATCTTACAGTTCAATCCCCAGAACATTCAGATAAAAAAGCCATTGCTCGATACAGAAGTCTTTGTGCCTTGTTTGCCTATGGATCCTACAGAAGGCGCTATTAACCCAAGTGAATTTCGCTTTGCTTTGACCTTTGTCAATTATGCAAATACTGCAAGAGGACAGGACCGCTCCTCCCATGGAATGTTTTCTTTGCTCAGTGGCACTTGTAATCTTAACCAAGGATCATGAGGAAACTTACATTCTTTTCACAATGGTGTAAAACGCCACCTTATTTGGTAATTGAAAACCTGTCCTTTGTCTCCTGAAGCCACACTTTTTAGCCTTCATTCAATAGCTATAAATTGCCTAAATTATAGTATGTATAAATAACTGTGACTCAAAGACCATTTTCATATAATTCTATCAAATTTTAAGAAGTCTGTGACTTTTCTGATATTCAAGGAAGGGTAACCAGGTTAAAAATTGTGTATGTGTTTACACACATGTATGTATCTATGTATTTTTGTGTGCATATATATATATAATTTTTAATAAATTGCAGATTTCTAAAATCATTCTAATTCTAATTAGCTTCTAGGTTTAAACATTGTTTTTAAAAATTACTTTACCTTAAATTTATGAAATTGTAAAAGAAAACAATAAGTAAGCATTGTTAATAAATTTTTGGAAAAGAAAGGTCTCACATATACATCAAAATGTACTGTAAGTCATTAATAGAATAGGCGAACAGAGGAAGTAATAATAGAATAGAGAGACAGAAGAGAGAACTGAGGGGAGAGAAAGAGAGAGATCCTTACATGATTACAGTGGCATATCGTGCAGCTTTTGCTGGGATAATTAGCTATCTTTGACAAATATGATAGATCTAGATATGGAAAGAACAACAGACAAAAATTCTCTTTGTGAACCAGAGGCAAAGATCCTAACCAACATACTGACAAACTAAAATCTACATTTTACAGCAGGTCCCAGCCATTCAATGAGCTAATCAAAACAAGTAAATATTATTTGAGTTAGAAAAGGAGAAAACTGTCCAAGATGATAGGATTATTTACACAGAAAATCCAATGGTATTTTTAAATATTTGGAATTAAGTTAGATGACTAAGCAGTGTTGCTGGATATAAAATAAAAGACAAAATTATTGTATCCTCACACACTAGCAATGAATAGAAAGGATAATTTTTAAAAAGATTATTTACATTAGCAATGAAAATGTAAAGTACTCAAGAATACAGAAAAATATAGAAAAATGTATTGTGAATAGAGAAGCTGCAATCATGAACAAGCAGTCAGTACTATAAAGACGTCAATTCTCTTTAAATTAATTTATAAAGCCAATGGTATTCTAGTAAAGATCACATCAATGCCTCATGTGTGTGGTACATGAGTGTGTACTCAGGTATGTGTACATGGGTGTGG